GCTTATACAGTGCCTGGATATGGAGTACAGCTCACCAGAGAAAAATGTTAAAGAAAATTGGAAAGCTTGAAAAGGAAATGGAAGAATTGAACAAGATTGAAAGAAATGAGTGAATTCAGATTTGACTCAGTAATAGGTACAGTGACAGTACCAGATGATGTTTGAGATACCAAGATCTAAAAACAACCAGCCATTCACTAGTTTTGAAATAAGCCAGTGGAGAATATTACAGAATTAGAAGAGATATTAGAAGGAATTCAGGCAGCATGACATGGGGCGATCTATCCTAGAGCTAGATTTAGTCAACAACAGCCCATCATTATTGAATAAACCATCCACAAAGATGACCATGTTGATTCTGATCATACTGAAGCTACTGAGAACACCAATCCAGTCAAGAAGTGGAAGATTGACGATATCAACCCATTGATACTATTAGGCTGTATTTATCAACATCTAAACACTCCCTCAGCCTACCTTATAAATATCGTCGAGAAGATAATTGCAATTCCTATAGCTCTTCCAACTTCTACATCTATTATTGAACAGGCGGTTACAAAACCTTATGAAAATTACAAAGGAAAGACTGGCTGGTCAATGGGGGGGATATCCTTACTAGGTATATAATTTTTGAAAATTCTATTAAGGCAGAGATTTTTGTAGCTCTAGATGGAAGACAAGACGAGAAAATATGACTTAGAGGTCAAATTGAAAGCTGTCAAGCTTGATACTTGTATTCTACTAGCTAGCTATCTCTGTGTTTGTTCTGATAGTCTACATAGTCAATATACATCTGAGTAGCCAGTCTGTCTCTTTCTTCTGCTATCTCCTTCATTTCCTGTAAATGACTACTACCTGATATTTGCTCAACATTATCAATCAAGTCCGACTCATGATCTTTATTCAAGTCATTATCTTTCTGATTAATATCAATTACCTTAAAAAACTCATCTTATTCATCATTTGTACAATAGCTAATAAAGTTGTGCAGAGTATATAAAACTTGAATAGTTTTGCATAAACTTCAAGGCTGTACTTTGGAACAGTATCAAGTATAAGAAATTGGCAGCGTAGAACTCCAAAGATTTATTCAATAACATTTCTGAATTGAGCATGGCGGAGGTTGAACAGTTCTTCTTTGCTTTGTAGACAAATGAGAACATGAGCTTGTTTTCAAAGATTGTACTGTACTGTTCGACTAGACATAAGAGAACCTTTCTTAAGACCATATCCAGCATCTGTAAGGTGCACAGCATTTTCAGCTCTGAGAAATCCGTTAAGCTCCATATTTTCAAGCATACGAGCATCTTTGCTAAATCTTTTCATCTAAGACTAATATAAAATATGTATATCTCCAGACTATATCTGGCAAGTACATTTTGAGTGATAGCACTCTTCCAGTTCTAATATATAAACTGATATTCTCTTGGAACATGAGCCAACACATATGTGCCATTGATTGTACCTCAAACATTCTTAAAATAAGACATCTTTACCCAGTTTTTGCAAATTTGGGTTGGGATATTATTGGCTGATGGGTGAACAAAGATCTCATACAATGGTAGTAGAGCCTGTAAAATACAATAAAAGTGTCTAATTAATTATTAGCATGTTATATATCGAAATTCATCATTTTCAATATATGAGATCCACTTATTGTGAGACTGTATCTCCAATACATTGAAACACCTCCTGGGTCTTTCTATTTTTCCTTCCATGGCTAACTACCAATAAAAACATCATAAACTACTTCTTAATAGAGACATAACATATTGCCTAAAGGAGTCCACATTCCATGACCCGGTCACCAAGATCTAGTAAAGTCATAATAGGCATTCAGATAGGTTCAAGTACACTACAGGGATGTGTATAAAGAATTTCATTCTATATTGATGACCTAAGCGGATAGACATATATACTAACTGGTTTGAAAAAAATAAATGAGCATAAAGTGCAATACTGATAGTGATTTGAATCTGTCTTTGAATAATTGCATTATTCATTATTGAAATAGTATTGGTAGTTTCCATTAGATAGACATGAATATTAATCAGTATCAAAAATATTTAAGCTACATATTCTAACAGAAATTAATTTATTTAATGATAATTTTTCCTACAATTTAATAACAGTTTTCATGTAGCATTTCTACAAAGCAACTATAGTATTATAGGTGTTACCAAATGGCAAGGTGACTATTGTGTAACAGCTGTTTTGGAATGAAAGAGTTTTACCAAATCCAGTTCTATTCGAAAATTTTGGAAATGAAGGGGAACAGAAGGGAACAGTTATTTGTATGGTAAAACGGAAGGTAACCATTCCAAACGAACAGGGCCTAAGTAGTTGCATGAGCAGTCTGCACAGGAGGACCCCAGACCCACCTATTTATACAGACACCTCATCCAACCTTAACCCTATATGACTTATATCTTTATATCATCATATTCTATGACTTATAAGTGTGAGTCATGTGAGATCCTTAGCTGACTCGTATAAGTCAACTGCACAACATACCTGTAATATGTTCGCAAGGTGCTAATTATATTTTAGGAGAAGATACAATAGTGGACAAATGGCCTGCTCTACCAGAGAGGAGGCAAGAGCTGCAAACTAAAGAAGGCTTCAAAGGTGTACTAGGAAAACTAAAGAGTAACTGTTCAACCAAGTATATTAAAATACTGTCTTTCAAAGTCTGCCTTTTTCATTGTAAAATTAGGCAGTCTTAAATATACAAATCTGCTCATGTTTAGCATGAACGAAACTAATCAAAGGTATCAAGTAATACACTTTGGTAAAACAATTTAAGTATCAAAATAATGTTAAAAATAAAACATAAAACAAAACCAAGTATCAAATGATACTTAAAACAAAATATAAAACAAATTCCTTAACCAAGTACCCATACCGGTTACAATCTCTAAATCAATCCCAAGCCTTAAAGTAAGTCATATGCGTAAGTACATCACATACATGAGACTCATGACTCATAAGTATGAGTCATATGCAAAAGTCATAACATCATATAACTCATTACTGTGAGTTATTGTATAACAATAAACACATATAACTCACTAGTACGAGTCATGTGAAAACCTTATTCTTTTCCTCCAATCTGCCTTGTCACAATCTGGTTTGTGACATAAACTAGGACTCTGATCAAGATACTACTGAAATTATACCTCCTGAAACCATCTCTATCATTCTAGCAAATACTTATATTATGAAAATCACCAATCTCTTGGAATGCCTTCCAGTAGAGATTTTACAAATAACCTTCAGGCACTTTCAATCACAGGCACTGTTCAGCAACTTCAGAAAACACAGTAAGGCTTTCACCACTACGAAAAATCAAAGAAGAAATAGCGAAAACTTACAACTTGGCTTCAAATTAACCTAAACAAGGACCAAGAGAGGAATTCCAAGCTTCCTCAGAGTTATCTTTCCTGTCAGCACTCAGATGTCTTCAGCTAGCTCTAGTTCTAGCCCCAGTCTCTACAGGCCCTATACATACTTCAACTCCTACCCCCTCACCTCCCTCTCAGCTTCTTCGCTTTTCTTCTCTTCTTAACACTGGGTACAGAATCCATTTGAGGCATCATACTCACTTGATGGATAACTCGTCCTGGCCTACGAAGTCAGGGATCGGGGACGAGCTACTCTGCCTGTAGTAATTTATTCCCTGATCTAATCCGGACTAGAGTGGAAACCTAAGTGATACAGACTTAAGATGCTCAAGGTGGAATATAAACTGTTTTTTGATTATTCAACCTTAATCTCCGAAGGCAGTTGGAAAGGATAGGACAAAAAAATTTTCTCTTATTTTTTGTTCCTTATAGCTAAAATCATTTGTATGTAACTTCTTTTTTACTACTCCTGTTCATTCCCTATTTCCCGTTCACTACACTATAGGGCTTTTGTTCACTATATCAAACAAAACCAAGTGGAATCCAATTTTTCCTACTCCTGCCGTTCATTATAGCCAAGGATTCACTTTATCCAGGTTCACTATAGCCAGGGGGCGACTCTATACTCGAGTACAAATTAGTTATCCAGATTTTCTCTCTGTCTCTCTCCTCCTTTCGTCACCGCCCCGCGACGATCATAGCCTATTCCATCTAATCTGCGTTGCTCGTCCGGTGAAGAAGAGGAGGAGCGATACGGGTGGACGCTTTCTCCACTTTTTATTTTATTTTTATTTGTAGGGGGGGGGGTCATGTGTTGAATACGGAAATGTTCGTGATTTGGTAAGTTACAAGCACAACAAGTAATTTACCGGTACCGTACCATGTTTCGGGTAAAAACTCCACGAATAACTTATCAGCGTTTCTGGCAATCAGAATCTAACGGTGAATCGGGATCTGGTTCACTGGCCAAATCCTCGCTGTATGTCACAGATACTACTGCCGTATTGATTTCCATCCAGAGTACAAGTACAGTACTCGAGTACTCTCCTCACTTGTCTGACAGTAAAGAAATCTCCTCCACCCTGCGATTATTCTCTCAGAATTGTTGTAGTGATTGGATATCGATCACATATAGCCACAGCAATAGAGGGAAACTCAAGCATATGAACCTGCGATATCATAAACCTGGTTGGTTGGTGAGGGGGGGGATTGGAGAGATTCCAGATCTTTGGTTGTGGGACCCCCCCCCCGAGTTGGAATTGGCACCAATAACTACCGTAACTCTGCAGGAATAGACCACCCGTATGATACTTGATGTAGGGTGCCGAGAATGATATGGTAGCTAGAATCACCGCTTCTCTCCCTCGGGTGAGTCAGCCTTTCCACGCAGGTCAGATACTGGTATACAAGTACAGTAGTATGCTGTCATACGGGTACCGTAATACGGTAACTTATCTCCTCCTAGGGAGGTGTTGGTTTCCCGTTCACCTATCATTCTCAGCATCCTGACCATATACGAGCCAGACACACCAAAATAGGAGGGTAACCGAATACTATATCCTGCGGGTAAGCTCCTTGCCGTGCTTTCCCACTTCTCTTCCCTCTATACTGCAGAAAGTAAAGCTTCTTAGACGAGAACTACGACGAGAAAACCATGGCTATTGCAAAGAGCATCTTCCTCGCTCTGGCAGCTCTATCAATGACGCTGCCCGTATCAGCACACCACCCCGGTCTCACCCACCTCCACAATCACGAGGGCCAGCAACCACTTCGGGACCACCATAATACTCACGATAATGACGGAGTGAAGCGTGTGGCAATCATCGGTGCTTATCCCCTTTTCCTCCTCCCCATCAACTGTAATTCCCAAGCTAATTGAGACACGAAAAAAAAACAGGTGCGGGTTCAGCAGGTTCCTCAGCGGCTTACTACCTCCGCCGTTTCCACGCAAACACAACCAATACACCCCCTATAAATATAACAATCTACGAACGAAACGCCTACATCGGCGGGCGTAGCACAACCGTGAATCCCCACGGGAACCCTGGTTACCCAATAGAACTTGGCGCCTCGATATTCGTCTCCGTGAACGAGAACCTCGTAAATGCGGCGAAAGAGTTCGGCCTAACCGTCTCCTCCACCTCCAGCACTCGCCCCAAAACGGTCCAAGATTCGATAGGCGTATTCAATGGCGAGGAAATGGTCTTCGTGCAGCCATATGCCGAGGGGAAAGTGGGCAAGTGGTGGTCACTCGCGAAACTGCTGTACCAGTACGGCCCCTTCGCGCCCATCAGGGCAAACCGCCTGACGGATGAGGTTGTGGGGAAATTTCTCAACATGTATCGGGAACCCCTATTCCCATTTTCGTCATTGGGTGAGGCAGCGGAGAGTACGGGCTTGTTGGAAGCCACGGGCGTGACGGGAGAGCAGTTCCTTATGGCGAAGGGCGTTGGGAACGGGAAGTTTGTGACGGAGTTGATGCAGAGTAGTACTAGAGTGAACTACGGCCAGAATCTAGGATTGATACACGGTCTTGAGACTATGGTCTGCATGGCGGCGGAAGGTGCCGTCAGCGTCGAAGGCGGGAATTGGCAAATCTTTGAGGGGATGGTGAAGAGCAGTGGTGCTCTCTTTCACTTGAATACCTCCGTTACCGGCATCACGGAAAAATCCACCAAAGAGGATAAAAAAATCTGGACGATAACCTCCCAAGAGCACGGAGACCGGCAACCAGTCGCGAACCAAGACTTTGACGTCGTAATAATCGCCTCCCCATACCAATACCTAGATCTCACCCACCCACCAAGCACCCTGCACAAGACCCCCGACGAAATCCCCTATGTAGCCCTGCACGTCACACTCTTCACCTCCCGCCGCCCCCTCGATCCCAAGTACTTCAACCTAGACCCAGCCTCCACAGTCCCAGAAACAGTCCTGACAACCCTAAACGCGACCGAACAATCGAGCGAAACATTCACTCGCGGAGAAGGGGCTAGCGCCGTTGGCAATGTAGGGTTCTTTAGCATTTCCACCCTGCAACAAATCTTCACCGAAGAGCACGGGGAAGAGTTCGTATATAAAGTGTTCTCGCCAGAGGTATTTGGCCAGGACAGGATTAGGAAAATCCTTGGCATTGAGGGCGAGAGCGAGGACGAAGCGGATGTGACGTGGGTTCTTAGACATTTGGCACGTACCTTCCTTCCTTCCCCCTCTTTTTTTTTTGTTGGGCGGGGTGAGCAGGGATAGTGAAAACTAATGGTAGGAATAGTGGAACGCATACCCCTACTTATACCCACGCGTCACCTTCGAAGACATCAAACTTGCTGAGGGAATGTACTACACTGCTGGCATAGAGAGCTTTATCAGCACTATGGAGACGAGCAGTCTCATGGGGATGAATGTTGCTAGGTTGGTTCTGGACGAGGCCTTGGGGGCACGAGGGAAGGTTAAGGCGAAGTTGTAGTTTAATAGCCTTAATCGGTAGAATAAGGAGGCATTGGGGAGGGCAAGATTTTAATGCTACGATACCTGTGCGTCATCCTCACTCACCGTGGAAGGATTACGGGATTGACCGATTGGTGCGGGAGACCCCTGCTTCTTCCTCCCTTTCAAAGCATTGGGCTATTATTATATTGGTAATGATATATGATACACGGTTCTTCATTCCGCCCGTCTGAGTGTGTAACCGTGATCGTGTGGGGTGTTAGTCCGGCGGTGCAACACTGCCGGAGTAAAGTTAGTCATTATACACCGATGAAGGCGGGAAATGCTGCACAAGCTCTGCGTAATAGCCCCCTCTGTGTGGGGTGCCTTGCGGGTTTTTATCACTTCAGCGGTACCGGAAGAGACTAAGAGCGTATCCCGAATTTCACGACGTTCTAGCGCGTATCTTGCTTGTCCTCCGATCTCAAAGAAAAAACTCGGTTCATAAAGGCATGGTCTCGGCCACTCAACAATGACCTACGGTAATCAATGGAGTCCATGGCCCCGGGGAGTTTATCGATCCCTTCCTCCAGTAGGGATACTATCGCCCTATCCAGGTGAGCGTGAGGTCCTGAATACGGACGAAGGGGTGGGTGATGACCACCGGAACTGCAATGTCGGTATATCTTAGACCGATATTGTGACCCCCCCCATGATACTGTACTCGAGTATACCGACCCTAAATATGTACAGTACGTTCTAGATTGCATCATACAGGCGTAAAATATTTACAAAATTAACACAGGTAGAAATACAGGTTGCCGAGTGAGATCAAATGACTCTGACACTCGCCTTCCCTCCGCTCCTGCTCCTCTCCACTTCATGCAGAGTGGCATGCGGCAAGGGAACAAATAAAGGGCTCATATGACTATCTTGGTCAGCCCCCCCGCCCCGCCTCTCTATACCTCCTGTCAGCATCCCCCCTCCACACAACCCCGGCTTCCCCCTCTGCAGACCGGGGATCACATTCCCACCAGAACCTGGCCTTGGCAATCTCGTTCGGGGCCTCCCCGGCCCAAGCCCCGCTATCCAAATCATCCTCATGCGCAACGCTTATGATCGCGGGACCACTGAGCCCTTCAAGATACTGCATACACGGTTCCCATTCCCCCCATCCATATGTGATCCCCCTCCTCTCCAGAAATCCCCCCGCCTCACCCTGCACCCCCACCACCTCCACATTCTCCTCTTCGACCTCCACAGGAGCTGGCCTCGCCCTCCCAACCTCCCCGCCGACACCGTCAGCGTAGCGAGTATCCACACCTCTGCGCATAGGAATGCCGTTGTAGACTCGAAAGTTCTGTTCCCCCTGCACACTTACCACTTCGTCTTCGAAGGGTTTCTCGCTCACCTCGACGATTTCTTCCCGCACTCTCGCCTCGGAGGCGGGGTGTGCGGGGGCAGTGCTCTCCAGGATGGAACCTAACCCTGGACCTTCCTTCCTGCAATGGCCAATGTGGCCTTTATAACTTAGCGGGCCGCGACGCAAAAGTGCCGGTTTGCCATCCACTTCTACAGGTCTACCGTTATAGATTATGACTGATGACGCTTGGGAAATTAGATCCTCCCCGTCGCCAAGGTTTTCGCGATCGCTTGGTACACAACTGGGATCACCCGGGTCTTGAGCCAGAGAAGCTCCGCACGCTGCGGCCGCCTTGGCCTCAGCGAGGGAAGCCTCGAGTTGGTGTTTGGGGAGGTGGAAGTATTCCAAGGCTTTGCCCAAGCTGCGCCTGTGGAGGTTGGGGTTTGGTGGTGAAGGATTTAGGAGGGGTATAAATGGAGATGAGGTGGGGACGGTCGGGAGTGGCTCGAAGTCTAGGGAAAGGTCAAAGTCGAGTTCTTGCGGGAGAAGAAAAAATTCGATGTCTGATTCGATGAATTCGATGGACAAGTCAAGGGATATGTCCACACCGGCTGGGGCGGCGGTTTTAGAGGTTAGGTATAGACCCTGGGTGAATGGGAGGTCAAAAGGGGAGGTGCGCATGTGGGCAGAACAGATTGGGTCTTCGCTGTCGAATGTGCAGAAGCGGATATCCGATGGGAGGTATGGTGGGAGGAGCTTATGAACAAGATATTCTCCCTGGGAGGTTGTTAGTTCGAGGATAGGGAATTAGGGATGTGTGGAAAGGACATTTGTATGAACGAGACTTAGCTCTAGGAATTCTAGGATAGGAACCGGATCTGAAATATGTGTCACCCGATGGTATCTTGGTGGGGGGACGTGCTGCGTTCAAGTTAGAAACCTCCCTGCATCTTTTATCACTCGCTGATAGCACGAGGGGGCGAAGCAAATGTACTTCATCAAAGAACTCCATGAACTCAGCATCCCCAAATCTTGGCTGCCCAAATGTCGTCAACTTTGGCTCCCATCCTTGCATGGCAAAGTTCAGAGCTGCTAAAGAAGCAACGGAACCCCCAGCCCCACGGCCAACAATATTCAATTCATCTATCCTCGCCCAAACTGTAAGCAGTGCCTGTAAATACCCCACAGAAACTACTTACGTTGCCCATAATTTCTCCGCAACAAGTTGGCTCTATCAAGAACGGTTCCTCCAACGGCCTCCCACCCCTTTTGGAACCCACCATGAATCAATCCCCCGCTTCCATACACACCAGCGACCTCAAATGGTAGAGGAAACGCCAAGTCAACAAGAGCGTCGACATATCCATAATCTCCATCAAATACAACATAGATATTCCTATGATTATTGTCAACTGCTACATATCCTTGGGTATCCGCATTGTCCCATTGATGAACCACATCCAGGTTTTTCAACAGGGCATCTCGGCGCAATTTGGCAGAATCATGTGAGCATATTTCGACAATCCCCGCGAGACCCTCCAGCTCTTCGAAGAACTTGTTCGAAATTTCACCAACCGAGCTCTGTCCCAGTGGGATCTGGTGAACAGGCGCAGATAAGATAGGGAGCGGACACGCCGTTAAAAGAGCGCAAAGAAAAATATAAATCATATCGGAGGACGCCTTTTTTCCGTGTGAGAAGAGAAGGAATGCATACCAGACAATCCACACGCGAGGTGGGGGCTATATTTTTTTTATAGCACATCATCGGTGATGTCAAGAGTGCGATTGGATTCTGGCTTCTGAGAATATTGTTCAGAAGTGAACACTAGCAATGCTTGGCTCTAAACTCCATCATCATCATAATTCGTGATCCAAAAAGAAAGCCTACTATGATACTAGATAAAGGTTAGCCCAAGGCTAGAGAGGCTTATCGAATCTTTGGGATCATTGGCAACGGGCCCGATGCACCATCGCTCCCCCCAAAAAGGACATCCGTTCGGCGGGTGAGACCTGATGCAAGGGCGCGCCTACGGTACCTTACCCATAATAGAAAAGAAGAAAAGAAAACCACCATTCCGAGTCCAGAACGTTGAGAAGTACCCCGCAACATTCGATCTGGACCGTCGACAAATCCAAATAATAACCGCAACGATCCATAACTGACCTGCCCGCCTTGCACGGACTACCATGTTCAAAGAGTGGCCCAAATGCAAAACAAAAATAATAATCGGGAGGTAAAGTGCGGCACTGTAATCAATCTGTAACACCTTCGCGACATCCACACTATACTAGTACTGTACTAAGTACGAGTAGTCGCGAATTCTCCCCGCCTTTCAACCAAAAATTCAACTGCCGGTAGCCAACATACTCGGGTAAAACCAACCTCATCAATAACCAATTCTCAACCCGGTGATACGATGCTTCCCTACACAGCGAGCACCCGGCATAAGGAGAACTGGCTCACAAAATGCTCTAAGCTACGGTCTAAAACCGCACAACCCATGAAAGGCGAGCCAATAAATGGTACGGTAGGCGCTCGCTACGCCGGGGGCTCGCTTCGCAGGGAAATACTGCACCGCGAGAATTTCCATCTTCTTTTTTCCAGTCACTATCATAGCTCCCGTCGCCCCACACAACATGTACGAGTATTAGCACTGTACCTGCGCGGTGCAAGTACGACCCGCTGATGAAGCCTCACCCGGATCCACTCCTCCGCAGTCTAACGGGATTGCGTTCCCCCGTGACCACGGCCCCCAAAGTGCGAATATATCCCCTTCCTTCATCTATCCCATTCCACTCCCATGTGAATCTCCCCGGGTTCACGCTAAATGGCCTCACCGTAGCCACTTCGTGCAACTTTCGGGGAAATTGTTTCTTGTCTTGTGTATGATATAATAGAACTTACAGGCCATAAGTTGACTACTCTTATCCCCCTAGTCCAACTCCCAACAGAGAAGCTGTGGGTCCCAAACCGAGTGAGCCCGCATGATCATCCAAACAACCCCCGACGCGCGTCCAGCGTCTGAACCCGGTACTGGAGAACGGAGATGCCGGAGTTATACCAATTTGGAAACATCAAGATTTCAAATTGCCATATTAGAATCACGGAGATGATGTTAAGTTTTTAAGGCAGGATTCAGTGGAAGCTTGCGAGGACGTTCTTTATTTTATCGATATGGTCGTTAGTTTGTCAGTTCAACTTTCTCAAAAAAAAAAAAAAAAAAATTTATCTCGACGGATACCGCAGGGGGTTCCGACTGTTCCCCCAACTGAGAGAGAGGTAAGGTTCATAGCTGAGAGGAGGAGAGTGGGTTGTGGGAAATTGCGTTCAAAGTGTACCGTACGGTAAGAAAATGGGATGAAAAAAAGAAATCGAGAAATTCCAACACTGTCGGCCTTTTCGAAATCGATGATATCTGATATCGATAAGTTAATCTTTTTAGCCCGGGAAAGAGGGCCGTTGGACCGCATCGAGAAGTGACTGACACTGACAGGCACTTCATCCCTGTATGTATCGGTGTCGGGCCTCATTGTCACTGTTAATCGAACTCTTGTAACTGTCTTATCGTATGAGTACAAGTACGTTTGAATTTAACCGGTGGGTCTCGGTGGGGTTTGAAGGTCTCGGAGATTATGCTCTCATGGAACGGAGGCCGAATTGCATCTTGAACCTACCGATCACGGCCCGTTTCTGAAAGGGATCAGCGTTTGAATCTGTCACTTGTCCTTTTGCCCAGCCTTTTGCCCTTTCTTTTCAGGAAGCACACCCGATTGCAGGGACGGGATAACCTGATACGACCGGGTCCGTCTTCTTGAGGGAATTTCTCCGAGAAGCAGCAAGCTGCTTCAGCATGGGGGATCGTCCTTCTTTGAAACCATTACCGTAGGTCTTAGTTTTTTGTGACAACCAAGGAGGACTGAACGTACCGGTATGACACTGCTCATGAATCATATTCCTGGAAGCTTGCAGTTGTTGGTTTTTGAGGGTTATCGTTTGCCAAGGACCATTTTGAACAGGGAGCATAGGGCTTTTCGGGTGAGAGCGACGGCAGGTTTTCTCCTCGCATTCGTTTCTGCGACCTCGCCTATTCACGGGGAGTGCCGCACACGAAAACGTGACCCGGATCGGCTGAAAATGAAAGCCGACAGCGGTCTTGCGGCAAAAAGTTTCAATTTCTAGTCGTACCGGGGGCGATGGGCTGCAGATAACTCCTTGGAATAAAACTTTCGTCATCTTTTGGGATAAATATTCCAGCGTTGCTCCTTTGGGACGATTGGAACTGTGTCTTCGGGAGGCCAAATTTCCTCACGGCAATTGCTCTCTTCTCGGTAGGTAGGTGTTATCGCAGAAGTCATTACTTGTATTCACCCTGTACGGTATTTATTTATTTTTTCTGACGCAGATTTCAAGGATTAAGTTGTGGGTAAATGAGGAAAGAGGAGGAAAGTGGAATAACTCGTGACATCGTTTCAAAGGGAAAGTGAAAAAAAAAAAGTTCCCAACCAAATAAGAGAAGAGAAAGAGAAAAAAAGATCTCGGGGGGAGTATCCGAACCGAAGGGCTCCTGTTTGCTGGCTCCCCCTCTTCTTTCGCGCCAAGGGAACGGGCAAAGAAAAAAAGAGGGAGAAAAGGGAAGGTTTTGCTCTGCACTCGAGCATGGTAGATACCTGAAAACCCTTCCCTTCCCTCTGTTTGCTCTTTAAAAAGATTGATTGGATGGGTACTTGCTCTCGTGATTTGAGCTGCATTAGATTAGTCTGGTACTCGAGCATGCTGTGCGTCTCCAAGGAAATATGATCGCAGCCCTGTCGATAAGGTTGGAAGGGGATGGACAGGTCAAGAGTGAATTTGGAAGGAGGCGATTGGATGGGAATAGATGAGATAGAGAGAAGGGGGCAGCGATTTGCCTATATGATAGCACTACTGTATGGCAAGTAATGTACGGTACGGTTCGAGTACGTACGGTACGGTGCCTGTAAGGGTGAAGGCTTTCTCTTTCTTAAGGGTCCCTCCTCGTGGGGGGGCTGAGGATATTTTCTTGGCGATGATGGTGGCGGTGATGATAATGATGATGACGATGGTGATGGTTGTGATGATTGATGGTGATGATTGATGGTGATGGTGATGGTGATGGATTTTCTCTTGTATGATACGTCACTCTTTGTTTCTTCTCCTATGATACTCCTCGGGGGAAGCGATCTGGTAGCAGAGGGTTACAGAGCGGAGGGCTCCCCAGGGTTACTCTCCGGGTGCAGTTAGTATTGTATGACAGTTACAGTGTGCGGCACTCGAGTATGGCTCAGGGGAAGAAAAACCCGGGGGATTGGAATTGGAAGGCAGACCAGCCAAAAAAGATAGAAGAGATGCTCGAGTACCAGTATCATAATATCATGCAGAAAGTGATCACCTCATAAGCCCATTCAGAATTCCCAAATGAGTCTGACAATCGATCAATAATCTAATACAGACAGCATAACGAAAAGTACAGTAAGGTACATGGATCTATATGGTACAAAGACAAGATAAGGCAATTGGCAAGGGGAGAGAGAGGGAGTAAAAAATGGTCTCCAAGAGAGGCTATGGGAGAGAGCAAAATGGCTCTCTTGGAAAGAGGGGGGTTTTCTTTTTCACTGTGCCCACGGGTACAGTACAAGTATGATACAACATCGCCATATCATATTACAGTCCCCATATTATTTTCCCGTCACACACACACACTCGTATACAAGTACCGCATTCATCCGTGCAAAGCAAGCTGCTTGTTATGCACGGAATGCACAGTGCTCGTGCCCGGTATCGGGGGTTTATCCTACTTCTTTCTTCAGATGCTAAGGGGGTAGAGTATCGGTGGTATAATATGATTCCATTAATACTTGCTGATCCAGCTATGGCGCCATGGATATGATGAGCTCGGTCGCCATAGTGGTGCGGTATTCGAGCAGAATGTCATGGCATCTCGATAATTATCCTTATTTAGGGATGGATATAGATTATCCTTCACCCTGTGCGCTCAGTCTGGTGTGACGGGCTACACCATCGTCATTGCAGCCATCCAGCTTAAAGATAACATGAGGGGAAGCACGAGGTTAGAGCGCACGCCACACATAAACTACTCGAGTACCAGTACTCGTACAGTAAGTGTACTCCAGTATTATTATCCCATAAGGTCTCGCGTGGCTCCCTGGCCCATCCCTAACTCATAATCACACCCACAATTACAAGACAATCACCACCACTCACCCCCCGGTTCATAAGCTCCACTTCTCCCGCACCTCCGCCCCCGAGCTCAAACTGTTGCCAACAAACTCTGCTCCTAACGACACGCGATAACCGCAGCACGCCTCCAGGAAATTTTGCTGGAGCAGAGAGGCTCGAATTTCAAAATAAACATCCCCGCGAAGCCTCGGTCCACAAGAGAGCAGATCTAGCGCTTCTACCGCTAATTCGTCAACTTCCGTAGATCTTGTAAACAGATCTGCGAGACTGTCTTGGACTCAAGCTCTCGTTTAAACCACCCGCCCAAAAAAGTGCCAGGTCCGCCTCACGGTCCTTATTTTGTGCCTTACCTTTTCGAGGAGTCCCGCCCGCTTTTCATCTCTCGAATCCGGGCCTTCTTTTCTTTTTTACATACACCATCCCCTCTAACCTTGTCTGTTGGGCCCTTTCCCTCACTCACCCTATCGACGATCTCCCACACCCTCAACGCAAAAACCCGCTTGGTGGGATTGGTTGTGCTAACAGCCTTCGTGGAAGTCATTCCCATATAGAAGGCTGGCCTGGTCTTGAGAGTGCTGCTTTCTTTCTTCCTTCCTCCTTTCCCATTCACCCTCCAGAAACAGCTTTCTGTATTACATGTCACAGAAGTAACCGGACGCCTCCCTTTCCTACAAGGAAAAATAATTGGAAGCCATTCCATGGTTCCCACAAAACCAGACACTCACCCACTATATAATCCGACGCCCATTCCAACCCAGCAAGCCTCATCTGAGTCATCATGTCGGTAGTCTCAATAGAATCGAGTATCGACAGGGCGAAGAAACTCGTCAGATCCAAGATACGGAGTATGATGGACGAATGCAAGATTCGGAAGTTTGCAATGGAACTTCATTCTGGGTTGTCGTGCTATACCGCTCGGGAGTCTGGATATAGGGAGGTATTGAGGATGGCTCGAAAAACGATTTCTTTTCTCCGTCCAGGACAACGGGCGGCAGCCTCGACCCGGGGTGGTACTACCACCTCCAAAGGGTTTGTTCTTCAAAAGCCGCGGGTGCTCTGTTAGAATCGTGCCCCTTGCTGACTTCTTGCATCTCAGCTCTCGTTCACTAGGGGCTTTGTTCTTCGGCCTTCCAGTTGAGCTTCAGTTGGAAGTCGTTAATAAGTTATGCTTCTTTGATCTTCTGTCATTGCGGAGGACATCACGGAAATTCAGAGAACTCACAATGCACAACGAGAGCCATATAGTCAGGCACCATATCGGCCAGTGGGTGCCGTTACATATCATGAAACTATACCCTCCTCCCACAGATGTGCCACCGACGCTGGGATACCTCACTGACCTGGCATACAAACAACGGGTATCAACGCATTTGGCGCTGTCGTTAGCACGCCAAATTGTGAAAGAAATGATGGGAGGGCGGCAGTCCCGGAGAATGTCGAAAGAGGCCACGGTATATGTTTTGAATCAACTACGGTTAGGAATGGCACCACTGATATTCGCGTTATTCCACTTTTTCGAAACGTACAGAACGCGGAGACTAGAGCATTTGTGGGGAAATGATGATCATGACTCATCGATGGCAGGATTAGACCCGTTATCATCACTGGCGGATAAGATGCGACTTCAGGGGGATATCATATCACAATATCCCGATAATTTACTGTTACAAGTACATCAGATGTACCATTTGCTTTTACACTTGTTCATGCGAAGAATGAGCTCGCCGTCACCCTCGGTGCAACGAACACTGGGCTGCTGGACACGGCAGCGACCGCCAAACCAAGCGTTCGCAAAGGTTCTTATCCTTGGTGGGATCAAAGAAGTGTGGCACATCTACCGAATAAAGGGCTTTTGTCGCCGCCGCAAAGCACTGGACAAGTACCTCCGCAAGCTCGACGCGGAGCGAACACGTCCGCCCAAACGCAAGAACCGATCTGAAGCAAGGGCAACCACCCTGCAACAAAATAAGGGGTCTTCCATTCCCCCAAACCTCGACGTAACTGCACCACTCCACTCAGACCACAATCACCCACCACCGCCTCCCTTATCCAAGCTGGACGTCGACGACCTAACACAACTCTGGACTCCTGCCGCAGAGCACAGACTGATATTCGGAGGAATTGTGGGCAGTCTGGAGGAGGTTCGGTGCTGCGGCCAGTTTGTCAGTCAGCTACTTGGTGGGGTGACAGAATCAGACGATGAGGAGGACGATGCCGACGGCGACGACTCAGAAGACGACTCGGATGATTCTGCAGATGACGAGGCTTCGCCAGTGTTGGCACCTGGCGGAGGGAATACGGTTTATTCGAATACGTTGCTGAGTGCAGATAGTTCCTGGGACGACGAGCTCGCCGAGGAGGATAGTGGGTTATTTTCCGACGATGAGGGGCTCGGGCTGGGATCTGTACTTGCCACCGTTTGATGCCGGAAGTATGATACTTCAAGCAGTATTTATTTAAAACATCTGACTGTTCATATGGGTTATGTTTGGGCTCTTCATAGGTGTTTATTCATATTTTATTTATATCCATTCATATTTGTTTCACGGATATCCTACCCACCATCATTGCCATCCATCGTCTCCTTCACGTTATTATGTTATATCGCAATACTGTGGGAAGATGTGGATTTATGTTGGTTGGGGGGAAAGATGGGGTTTGTTTCCTTTTCCGGTTGCGCATTCGACGCTCGCTCTAAGTCATATATGGGGGGTTTCTTGCTCGTTTTCTCGTCTCTTCTTGTCTGGTCGGTTGGTCGGTCGGTTTGGGTTTAGGTTATATACTTTAATGAAAGTAATAAAAAAAATAAAAAATAAGGAAATTCTCATGGGATTGGGAGATCATTGTTTACAGTACTCAACCGCCTTGGAGGGATGAGATTGAGCGAGGGGGATAATTTTGATAAATCTATAGCCGGATTGAGTCTTGGTGAGTGGTTGAGTTTGATATGATACCGACTGGCTGAGCGAGGGAGGGACAATGGGACGTTCACGATGAGGAAAGGGGGGGGGATAAAGCAGCGAATCGAAACAAGATTACCATCCACAGAACATGTAAGGAACCCACACACAGCGTTCCGGTACTTGCACTCGAGTAATCTTCATAACACGTACCATCATCTTGAGCAGCACTACCGATACTCGTATAATACGGTACTCGTACTCGAGGAGAAAACCCCAACCAGAACACCCTCCCCCTTCTCCCTACTAGTACTAGCTCCCCAATCCATCAATCCATAACGCACTACGGTACAGCACTCGTACCGGTAGACTACCGGTAATCCCCCCCTCGACCTGATACTGTATCATACCAAACCCCCTTCTCCTCACTTCCCCCTCAACCCCAAAATTACCACAAAAACCCGCGGTTCTCCCCCCCCCCCATCAAAGCCGCTTCGGCCCCACCCATCCACACCACATCATATTTTCGCAGAAGGCCGAAGGCATAAATCACCCGTCCCAATCCTATCGGCTGGGAAACGCACAGACCTACTTCTGCGTTCGGGCCCAAGTCCTTGGATTCGAGTACTTGTAAGCGAAAGCGGAAAACATGGTGACTTTGTGTTGGAACAACTGGTAACCGTACTTGTATCTGTATGTCTGCGGTTTTGGAAGAGGGGTGGGGGGAAAGGGTTGTGGCGGGATGATAATCAGGTAGCTGGAGGTTCCGGGGGTTGGGTTGTGGCTACAGTGCCATGGTGGTACGGTGTTGGGATTGGTATTTGGGTTGGGGAATGTGCTGGCTCTGGGTGGGTGGATTGGAGGGGAAAGCAAGAGTTTGGGCCGGGGGTTGCCGTGGGGAGTTTTCGTTTGGGAGAGCACAATATCGTTACGGGTGTGAAGGGGGGGGGTTTCGGGGGGGTGGCGGGATTAGGGATTGGGATTCCGATAATACGGTATGCGGTACTCGTACACATCTACTGCATTGGCTGTGCGTGGTATCATAGGTGACCGTAGTGTTTGTTATCTTCCTATTTGTTCTTCTGTCGCTGATGCCATTCCCATGCACTAAGTTACTGTGCGAGTACACAATCTTCCTTCCTTCTCCTCTCCTCTTGTCTTCCTCCGCCTTCTTTTCTCCATTATTATTACCCACTCCCACTTCCCTCATTCAAACTTGCCGTAACCCGGCCAATCTTAATAAGTGCCCTTGGAGCATCCTGCCACGGCATGAATATTTCCACCAACTATAGATACTCATTAGCACCCCCTCATCCTCTCATCCGCTCATCCCGAGCACTGCCACCGGCGAGAACATACCTGGATATAAGGAGCACTAGAGAACTTCTCGTCCTTGAACAGATTCTCGAGCTCAGTCTTCGACTTGCACAGGTAGGACATTGCATCTGAGGGGTCTGCACCAAAGAGGCTGAGTAGGTCGGTGTGGTTCCAGGGTTGGATATCGTTATAAATTGCTTTCATTCCGTGGATCATGCGTTCGATTGTGTATCTATGTTTTTGTTAGTTATAGCTTAGTATGTGGGGAAGAGGAATGAGGGTGTACCCTTTGTTGTTGATAACGAAGCTAGAGGGAGATGAATGTTAGTTTTCGTTCATGGCATGAGAGGGAGGAGAGGGGTACATTATCGGTTTAAGCCCATGTCTGATCATAGTGCTAATTTCCTGGACAGTCAGTTGTAGTGAGCCGTCACCGACGAAGAGAATCACTCTTCTTTCTGGATATTTTTCTTTGCAGGCCAGTGCTGCGCCCTGCAATGCCCCAACCGAGTATCCAATAGATCCCCAGAGGACCTGTGAGATAGCCGTTACGTTCTTTGGGAAGCGAGTCTCCCAGATACCGAAATTCGATGTTCCACTAATGCGAGTGAGTAGGAGCTAGTGATGATCCATGATTGGGGAGGCTAACGTTTCTGTGATAATCACATCACCTTCCCTAAGCCACTGTCCAACTCTCGGCCAAAGCCATGCATGATTGATCTCCTGTGAAACAGACTCTTGGACTTTGTGCGGGATAACATTCGAAACGTCCGGAACGGAGTGTGTTTGGACCTTTGAATAGTCAAGTTTATCTAACAACTTCCTAAGAACCGGCTGCATCTGGATCCCTGGAAACTCGGAGTATCGGACTTTCATGTGGTCACTGTGGAACTCGACAGTATTCTTCCTAGAGATCCTATATGTGAAGCCACCAGAGTTGAAGTCGCTTTGCAAACCGCCGACATACAAGATGAGCTCGGCGTCATCCACACGTTGCCTAACTTCGTCCCTACTGACATCTCCGACGTAGACTCCCCCATACCATTCGAGCTCTTCATTGACGGCACCCTTGCCCATCGGTGAGACGAATGTGGGGAGCCGTGTCTTTTCGACGAGTTCATGGAGCTCGTCCAGCACACGATGACGAATTGCACAGGCATCTGCGAGGATGATGGTGTTTTTGGAGTTGTACATTAGGCGAGTGATTTCGTCGACCACTTCGGATTCGGTCTCGGGCTCATTGTCGGGGATCTTCAAGTCGAGGGGAGTGTCGAGGTGAGCTGCTGGTATTTCCGCAGGGGCAATGTCAGTGGGGAGACCTGCCGTGGACTGTGTTAATTTGAGCCACCACAACATGAGGATTCAGAGGGAGTTTGCCTATATATACTGGTCTAGCCTTAACCCAGCAAGCTTTTGACCACTTATCAGCCACTGTCCGGAAACCCCCACGAATTATCAATGAGAGAAATACCCGAAAGCACACGATCAATCTCCGAAGCAGCTCTGTGAGGATCATTCAAGATGGTCGATGTCACAGAGATATTCCTCGACATATTCTGAAAGACCGTAAAGTCACCATTTCCAAGGGTGTGATGGAGCAAAAGACCTGGGCGCAACCAGATCCGTTAGCAATCACCCAAAACATATACGATAGTTACCAAAGCCCACTTACCATTCCTTTGTGCAATTGTATTAGGGATACCGACGATATGAACTACAGGAACATGCTCGCTGAAGGACCCCGCAACCTACAATCGCACGTCAATAAAAAGGGGAACGTCTATTGGTTTTCCAAAAAAATAAAAATAAAAGAGTACTCACGCCCGCAAGTGCGGAAAGTTCGCCTGTAATAATTTATCAACAAAGGTCCATCAGTAAGGGTGTCACAATCTATGACGTACCAACTCCAAATGTTGTGATCAACGCTGAAATTCCCTTGATCCTAGCGTAACCATCTGCAGCATAAGCTATTTCGAGAGAAAGTTATTAGTATTTCGGACCCCGTACTCATGAGATGCTTTCATAAGGGGGGGCATATACCAGCATTGAGTTCGTTACAGTTCCCCACCCAATACAAACCAGCATCGGGAAGTAGATCCAATGCGGAAAGATTGAAATCGCCCTATCGTATTGCTTGTTAGCCAATCTATCAGGCAGTGGATATGACGAGGACTTGCCGGAACTCCATGAACACCGCGTACCCCAAGTTCGTGAAGGCGCTTAAAGAGGTACAAAACAATCGAGATATTCCCTGAAGGAGCCATGATGAAGCAAACCGTTTCCCACGAGAGACAAACCAATTGGATAAGGGATGATTCAAATAAAGCAGCAAGACCAATATCACAAGCAACGATGGAAGAAAGAAAGATCGGTGAGTGAGTTCCAAGGGCCTCAGGCTCGCAGTACGAGTACAGCTACTAATGCTTAAATAGTGGAGCGAACAAAAACTGGCAGACAGACAATCCTCGGACAAATCAATGCACAGTAATCCATTCTGGAAAAAAATATACCTTATGCATTATTCCCCCCCCCAAAAGTGGGCAGTGACGACAGAGCTTCATCAGACCACTGATAGACTATGTGTCCTACCCCCAAACATCTGTGTTTGGCGCTGTTGCTTCCGAGGACCCGAGAGACTTATCTCCCGCCCGTAAAGACACTGATCGATTGGCTCCCATGAGGCCCTCATTGATATTGGGGTGGAGGAAGGATGTAAGGGGTGCTGGGGATAGTGTGCTCACGTATGGGTACTTGGGGTAGACTATCCTTCTTTGGGGGGTCCATTTGAGTGATTGCTGCTGGAAATTTCACACCATCGTGATGCTCTACTGTGCCAGTATCGTAGAGAGTCTATTGCCCTTAGTCTCCTAGGAAGCATCTCGAGATCAACAGGTGATGGTGATGATGATGATGTTTCTGGGAATCAGGAGGTCTCCATTAACGGGGCATTGCGACCCCCAACCGGGATATACCGCTCCCACCGTTTAAATTCTTTGTATCACACTGTGCGATCTTGGTGGGGAGGGAGGGTCTTGAGCAAAGGTGGTTTGGCATTTTGCACCAAAAATGAGTAACTTTAATCGAGTAACATCCAGAAATCCCTTCCCGATTATGATAATAATAATAATAATAATATCGAGCTCTATCAGTAGATTTGGACAGCAAAGTATGAGGAGCATTGGGAATGGGCAAAAGAAATGTTGACTCTTGTCGGTTTTCCATAATAATAATATTATTATGATTATTGTGACGCAAAAGGTATCATAAGTTACCGTACTTGGCAACATCTCACATAAACCTTTTAGTTATGAATACTCGCACACGAGGGCAACCAAAAATCACCCAATTTTTAATGGAGAGAAAAAAAATAATCAATTGCGAAACCTATAAGGCTATCATACTTTGATTAATTCTGTGGTGTTTTTGGATGAATTATAAGCCCACTAAAGTTGCCCATTTTTGGTGTAAAATGTCGAACTGCCATGACTTTTTGCACCAAGATGGTACTACCGTAGATCTAGCCATAGAGAGACCGTTGCCAAGGATGGCGAATGGTAAGCTATACTTATTTGGGAGCTCGGTTAAGACATAAGGGAAACCTCAATTGAATTCTCTCAATCTCACGAAAGTAAACAAAAGCCTACCAATTCTTCTCAATATCCTTCACATTATCCTCACCCATATCATTCCAACGATCATGCCTCCAGCTAGAAAACCCCTTCAGAAGCTAAGAGTGAAAGAGGAAAATGAGAGGTCACACCGCCCAGGTCCCAATCCCAAGCCATTACTCGTCGTGTTGTGACGTTTGTGAAATGGACCGGGCTTGCAGGGGGGTGCAGAGGGACGTGCACAAAGTCACAGAAGAGCTCGAAAAGGAATCTATTGAACATAAATGGCAACACAACAAGGATTATTTATTATATATTATAATTATTATAGAAATTAAAAATTAAACTTAAAAATTAAAATTGTTTCCTCCTCCATCCTCAATACAAGCTGCGATCCATTGAGACATAGAGTCAATATAATAATTGATCCTTTCCTGTGGGTAGTTGTTTCAAGCCTAGAATAGTATTAGATAAAAAATAATAATACCTGGATTTTCAATTTACCTCTTCAAGAGTAACGCGAATCTGTTGCACAGTCATTTGTGCACCAATTTTTTCATGTAAAATGTTCTTTAAATCCGTCCAGATTGTCTCAATTGGATTTAAATCTAGAGAGTTTGCGGGCTAAACGAGCTTTGTAAACCCAAGCCATTCATGGAGGATATTGTGAAAGTGGTGGACATGTGCTGGAACATTGTCCTCTATTATTACAATATCCCTCACTAGAAACTCTGCTTCTGCCCAGCTGGTAAATGTATAGAGAAGGGGGTTAAGAATTCACTCATGGTAAATGTACAAGTCAATGCCCCCTTTTCTATCCACTTTCCGGGTTTTCAATATAGGATCCGGAAATGGGATTTGCAATCCCGAGGAGCTGGCATTTTAATTTTCTGCCAGCTCTAATTGATACTCTCTTTGGAGAGCAAAAGTGACTTCTTTCCGTTGGTTAGCTGTCTCGTATAGAGTACTGTACATATGATATGAGAGTTTATAGTCTAGTATATCTTGAATAATTTATTAGTATTAAACAATATGTACATATTAGAAATCAAATTGGTTAAAGTATAAAGTAATAATAAACAATAACTTTGAATATAAAATAGTATAAATTAAATTATAAAAAGTGTAACATGTTTGCTAGGTGCTAATCACGTTATCGGTAATGAATATGATAGTTGGCAGGTGGCCTGCTCTTCCGGAGAGGAGGCGAGAGTTGAGAACTAAAGGAGGCTTTGAGGGTGTACTGAGGAACAAAGAAGTAACCGTTCAACCAAGTATATTAAAATACTGTCTGTCGAAGTCTGCCTTTTCTATCGTAGAAACTGGTGGTCTTTAAATACACAAATCTGTTCATGTCTAGCGTGAACAAAACGAATCAAAGGTATCAATTGATACACTTTGGTGAAACTTCTTAAGTATCAAAGCAATACTTAAAACAAAACATAAAAGAAAACCAAGTATCAAACAATACTTAAAACAAACCAAGTATCAAACGATACTTAAAACAAAACCAAGTATCAAACAATACTTAAAACAAAACCAATAACCGAGTACCCGTACCGGTTACATTCCCCAAAACAAAACAATTGTTTAAACAAACAAAACCTAATAATCATCAAAAGCGGATTCTGAGAAACTAAGAGCTTCAGTTTCCGCTAAAAACTCTTCATCATAAGTATCACACCAGGGACAAGAAGAGATCCTAAGAAAACATTTAGACTCAAAGAAATGTAAATCACAGTAGTCACGAATACCAGATTCATGACTGTACATCAACCCAGGAGTGGTCGCAATCAGGACAGTAATCGATCCAGAGGATTTCGAAGTAGTCTTCAAGTTGAATAACATCGCGGTTCAACAACAGTCCAACAATCTGTTGTCGCAGCCTCACATTGAGTTCCACATAGTTTGACATCGTTATGGTATTCGGATGGTGATTGGTGATCAGATAAGGTTGTTGAGAGCCTGCTCCATAGTTCGATTTTCATCATCGCTGCTTTCGAATTCCGACTCAAAGTATGGTGCCTAAAACCCATCCCTAGCTTCGAGTTCTGCATGCCATTTCTCAGTTTCTGGCATCGTAGGGGTCCAGCACATGGTGATGTAATTGATCGTTGGGGGGAGGGATTCGTTTGGCATGTTGTCTTTCCACCATTTGTTCACCATATCCATAGCGTGTTCTAGTCCTTTCAGTGGTTTCTAGCTGTTCTCGCTTGTTGGATATCCTTTCCATTTGACTAGGAACTGATCGTTTCCATGCCAAAGGCGGTGGTCTCTGATTTCTTCAACTTTCCATTCATCTTTCTTGTTGATGATAATAGGTGCAGGTCGAGAATGTATTCTTCCAGGGAACTTGGAGTCATCGTTTAGGTGGAATCGCTTGACAGCAGAGGCGTGGAAGACTGCGGTATTGCGGCGGTACATGCGTCCATCTATCTAGACAGTGTAGTTTTCTGTATGCTTGTCAAAAGATAAGACCTTGAAAGATCCTCGCCATCTGGGTTGTAATTTCTTGCTGTGTCCAACATTGGTAATGAACATGTTTTCATGCACCATGAGCATATCACCTGGCGGGATAGGGACATGTTTGCGTCATCACTTCTGAGCAGTAGTAGTGCTTCTGAATCGGGCAGCTTTAACAGCTTGGAAGGCATCATTCTGAATTGCTTGATGGCAGTTTAGGTGGTCATTGGAGGCAGCGACTGAGGAGTTTTTAAATAAGGTTGTAGGTAGGAGGGGGTATGGACGGCCGAATATTACCTTCTATGGAGACATTCCTAAGGTGTCTGAGAATCTGGCATTGATATATGCGGCCAGTTCAGTGAGGGCTAGTTCCCAGTTTGTTTGCCATTCATTGATCATGTTTCTAATTCCAGTCTTGACTTCGCGGATTTTTCGTCCTGCTTCGCCATTAGTCTCATGATGACCAGGGGCCGCCATAATGTGGTTTATTCCGAGAGAGGTTAAGGTTTGTTTCCAGAGTCTGGTGGTGAAAGGGGGATCAGCATCAGTGATAATAGATATGGAGTACCCATGGGGGGTGAATAGGTATCGTTGGAGGTTATTCCAGGTATCTTTGGAGGAATCGGTAACCTTCATTGGTATGAGCCATGTGTATCTGGAAAATCGATCCACAGCTACCAAGATTGTGTCATATCCAGCGGACTTGTTGAATGGTCCTGCGAAATCGATGGCATAGGATTTGAATATTTCACATGGCAGTTGGAGGGTCTGCATCTTCCCTTCAGGTAGTTGTGTTCGCTCCTAATTTGCCTGACAGAGTTCACATTGTTTGATGAAATCGTGGAAGTCCTTTCGCATTTCAGGCCAGTAAATATATTCTGAGGCATATTGGAGGTTACGGTCCGCACTATGGTGTCCTTTGTTGTGGATTTCAGGGATGACATATTCCCTAATAGTCATTCCATTAAACATATAGCCTTTCGGGATGTAAAGGCAATGTTCACCATAAGGGGTGCTAGTATAGACCATTCCGTTGGATTTGTTGTAGGGGGTGAGGTCTCCATCCCTGGCGCTATCTATAGCTTTGAAGTAAATCGGGTCATGGCGATATCCTGCTATCATTTGGCTTCGAAAAGAGGAGGTTAATTCTTCTGTGATTGATCTAATATCTCGTTCATCCTCAATTAGGGATTCTCTTGTCGGTTCAATAGGGGCTTCCTCTTCCTCAAAGGTTTCATAGAGTTGTCAGCGATGCTCGGGAATAGTAGGGGGTTTGACTGAAACAATGGTTTCATTATTGTATACTCGTAAGAGTCCACCATATAGTGGTTGTGAATCGATTATGGGAGGAGAGGATGGCGGGGCTGACTGTGGGGGGTGTAAATAGGATATTGCA